GGAGCTAAAATAGTTCCCCACACGGCTGAAATCAGAAGCCTTCATTTAACTTTACAAGGCCAGTAAAAAAACAGTTGCACCACTGATCCGGCTTTGTCACAGAACGCCTCAAACTCGCGATGCTTAAATAGTTTAATAAAACTTACATTAGCTTTCTTTGATTTTTATAGCCTTGAATTTATTGCCTGTGGAAAAGAAAAGGGGGCGAAGGAGGATCCCCTGGCGTTTGCAGCGCCCGTGCCCCCCTCGCACCTCACCCCCGTGTGCCCGCGGTGCGTGTCCAACACCCCCCCCCCCCGCCTCGCGCGCCTTTTCCGCGCCTTTCCCAAAACCTGGCGATTTGGGGATTTTCCCCTCGCACCGGCGCGAGTGGCGGACGGGGGGGTTCGAGCTCGGTGCGGCTCCGGCCCCGGCGACGCGGGGACACGGGCTCGGTTCTCCCAAGTTCTGGTGGTAAATCCCTTTATTGCGAGACGCTCCGATGGCGCCGTAAATGTTGGCTAAGGAAAAGGTGCTCCCCGTGAGCGCGGCAAAAGTGTTTCTCTGGACTTCAGCCGTAACAGTCCGGATCAATTTGCCTCTTTTAATCTATTACCCCTCCGTCCTGCTCCCTCTCACCCCACAACACGGAAGGATATTTGAAGTGAAGGGCAAAGAGATTTCTAGGAATGATAAATCATCGCGAATCCTTCCTGAAGTGTACAGAGGTGGGAAATCTGTATTAACAGGCTAATAATAACAGTGAGGGGGTGCTAAGAACGGCCTGGGATGAAGGGGAAACCCATTTCGCGTTTCCCCGTGTCCGTGTGAGTGTCTGTGCCTGCACAGAGCGGAGGTGGGAAATCGCTGCCAGAGGTGTTTCACTGGTACTGGAGGATGATGAAGGCAATTAAAAACCTCCATCCAAAGCCCGAGATTTCCCTTTATTCCTATAAACGGGGCTTTTCCAGGAGCATCTGCCCTGCAGCCTGACGGAGGGACGCGTTTCCCCCACGTCCGGGACCGGGGCTCCTCTAAATGAGGCGCAATTAGGAAGCTGTCCATTTTCATTTTAAAACAAAACAAAAAAATAATCCAGAGGGTCGGGATGATGGGCAAGGAGAGCCGGAGCTTAATGCCGGAGGTCAGATTTAATTCGAATTTTTGCAACTGTCTGGACACCGAGAGCCCCCCCCAGGCAGCTCCAAACCCTCCCTGTGCTGGACGAGGAGGTTCCGTCCCGGGCTCCAGCCAAGGTGAGGGTTGGGGAGAGTTTGGGGACCCCTCTCCAGCCTCGGGGTTGCGATCTTGCCAAGCCACCCGTGGGGAGATGTCACCAGGTGAGTCCTGTGAGCACTTCCAGCTGCCCTGCCTACTCTGCTCTCCTTTCCGGGGGGGTTTTCATCCAAAATGACTCCACATCACCCCCGGAACCGGAGCGGGCAGAGGGATCCCCCAGCAGCGAGCAGAGCGGGGCAGGAGCGCTGCTCGCTCCGGTGCCTCTCACCCAAACGGGGCTCGTGTGAAACCAGGGGGGAATTCCTCATTTTTCCAACTTTCCACATTTCTACGTCCTTTTATTTTTTTTTATTTTTTTGTTTTCCCCCCGCTCCCTTCTTTAAACTTCCTCGAGAGTTGGTGCGGTTTTGAAAGGCAGAGCCCCTGTGTCACCAGGCGTGAAATACGAGCCGGGAGCTCGCACCGTCATATTTCTCGGCTTTATTGCCTTTCAGAAATGATTTTTAAAAATCAGGCCGGTCCACAGGAGATTCGGAGGGACTCCGCAAATGTTATGAGAGCTCGGGAGAGGAAAGGGCTGATTTAAGTGTGTTGTGGAGATGAAACTCGCCCGGCGCATGGAAATGTGTTTATACAAGTGATGGATAAACAGCCGTGTTGGTAGCAGGGTGTTGAATAAGGAGAGATGAAATTATTGAACGTTAATTGAAGCAAAACACCTGTTCTCTGTTCGCCAGATAGATTGGCCGTGTCTTACCTGTAATAAATATATTCCTGGGAAAAAAAAAATCCTGGTGCGCCTCCTATAAATAATGATGAACTGTGTCAGCATGTGAGTATATAATTTTCTGTAGTATATAAATTTAAACCAAGAAGACTCTCAGGAGCGTGGCTGTGAGGCAGAAACCAAGGGGTTTCAGATCCCTGGTGAATGGAAACCTCACAAGAAGATCTGCAAAACCCATTTGCTTTCGCTCCTCTGGAGGTTTCCGTTTGTTCAAGAGTTTATTTTTTATGCATCTCCCCATCGCTCATCTCTTTGTGGCCTTTTCTGAGAGGGGCTTAAGGCAAATTACAGCTTCATCCCAGGTCTGCTCGCTTGGAGACCACGTCGTGCAGCGCTGCCTGCTCCGGGTGACATTCCAGAGGCGTTTAGGTCTTAAATCCTTAATTAAAGCCCACCAGAAATTAAATAAAAAACTCTTCCGTCTGTAAAAAAACCAAAACAACAACAACACAACTCGGAGAAGGAAAACTCAAGGAGCAGAGTCCAAAAGTCTGAATCCTTGGAAGAGAGGAGGCAGGATATGCGAGTTTGGCTGGGTTTGAGAACGAGATTAATTGTAGATATGGGGTTGTTGTGGCGTGTAAAGGGAAGAGGAAGTGGAAAGAGTTATTCAAAATAAAATTCGAAGTGAAAACTTTTTCCTGCTTGCAGAATCAGCCCCGAGTGTGTCTGGCTGTGAGGAAAAACTCAGAGTATTGTCAGCCTGCAGTGGAGAAGCAGAAGCTTCTGAGCTCGGATAGTGTTTATAAATAATCTTTATTGTCTGTGGAGAGAAGGAATATTTTCCGAGTAGTGTTTTGAAACACACAACTGCCAAAATCCATCTTTACGAGTCACTCCTCGGGTCGGCGTTTCTGAGCTGAAAGCAACCAAATACACAATATTTTTGAAATATGCAGATTTTAAGTCTGTGCAGTCGTCGCTTTTTACTGATTTATAAGTTTTGGGCTTAAGAGAGAAAAAGACCGGATGGTCCATTTCTTACCGGAAACACATTTAACCACTTTTTCGAGGCTTTTTGTTATAATTTATTAGAACTGGCGACTTCTTCCAACCGATTTTGCCCCTTTGTCACCGAGATGGAGAAGGTGGAGGAGATTTGGGGGTGCGGGGCTTTACCCCCAGACGGGGCAGGGTTGGGGGAATTCCAGCAGGATCTTTACCCCCAGAGGCCGACCCGGCGTCGGGTGGAACCTGCACGACTTTAGGGATATTTTAGGGATATTCCCTTCCCCAGTTTAGGTTTGGAAGCCGATAAGGATAAGCTAAGGCAGGATAAAAGCTGAGAGTGAACTTCACGGCTGTGGAGAGTCTGGAGACCAGATTCTGATAACTCAGCCTTCAAAGGGCTGAGCGTTTATTTTTGGTGATATAAAACATTCCAATATTATAATAATAATAATAATAATACTGATAATCACAACTAGGGAATGGCTTTTCTTTTTTTTTTTTTTTTTAAGGAGCAAAACGTAATTTATGAATGATACATTTTAGGGCAGGTCGGAGAGGTTATGGAAGAAACTTCAGTCATGGAAACCCGTCCGAAGGCACGAAAGGGCAACAAAAATTCCCTTCTGAAGTGTAAAACTTAGAGGGAAAAAAAAAAAGAAAAAAAAAAGAAAAAAAAAAGGAAAAAAAAAGTGAAATAAGTTTCTGGAGCCTAAAAGCCGAAGGATCTACCTTTGCCATTTCCTGTGCTGGCTCTCGGTTTGAATGCTGCCGTCTGTTAAAAATCCGTAAGTGGGGAGGGAGGGAGGAGGAGGAGGGGGGGAATTCCTTGTCTGAGGAGAAGCAAAAACAAGTTACACATGTGGGCAATTTTCCAAGGACCGAAAGTGTACTCTGGCTAAAAAAAAAACCAATTCCAAATGAGGTTTGTAATCTCAGCAGTTAATAAAGCGTTTGGGTCCCCCTGTAAAGTAAAAGCGTATGTGCATCTGAAAAGGGAAGCTGGAAGGAGAGAAAGTTGAAATAAAGTTGGGTTGTTGTTCGGGAACCCACATTCTGGCTACTGGACTGATCTCCCCCTCCCCTCGCCTCCCTCCTTGAAATAATATTCAGCTCCCATGGAATAGTTGGGCTCCGGCTGCTGCGGATTTTACACCCCGGGAGCTGCTGGGGTGGATTCCACTGGCTCTGCTTTGGGGTCACCGCGATATAACAGGGGTAGCCCCCCAAAAAACCCACCAAACTCAAAAAAACCACCCCCAAAGCATCGTCCAAGTCGCGTTTAGTCTGGGAGGAAGGGAAGTAACAGCCCGCAGTGGTGAGAAATCTGTCGCTCGCACTCAAGGCAGGGGAAGAGGGTGGGAAAACACAAGCACAGGTACGAGGGTGAAGTTGCGATGGAATTGTTTCCATAAAACCGGGAGCGCGAGCCCCGGTGAAATAAAAGGGGGAGTTTCTGGCGGAGAGGCTCCTTTATCAACACTTTTGCCCGTAATTAAAACTCGTCCCGGGTGGGGGGAATATGGGACAGGCTGGACTTTGGCAGGGCAGCGACTGGGGGGGGGATGCGGCGCATTAAAAGCGCGGTTGCTCCTCGAGTGTTGGCTCAGAAATGTGCAGCGTGTCCCAAACCGGGCAATTCCTCCGCCGAGGAAAACCCTTTTATCGTCCCCACGCAGCGGCTTCTCCAGGTAAGGTCCTCTTATCTTTTTTTTTTTTTTTTTTTTTTTTTTTAATTCGCAAAAGGAGGCGAACGAGGCGCTCCCGAGGCACAGGCGGGACCCCCTGCCCACCTCTCCCCGACCCCCTGCCCACCTCTCCCCGAGCCCCTGCCCACCTCTCCCCGCTGCTTCCCTGGGGGAACGAGCCCCAATTCCCGTCTTCAGGCAGCAACACAGCCCCCCCCGGGCCTGATCCTGCTCCTTTCCCAGCTCCGTGTCCCCCGTTCTCCTCCCGGCCCTTGTTTCCTGTATTCAGGCGGGGAGGAGGCAGATCGAAATCAGAAGCCCAGACATTTTTACAAGGCAGGTTCGTGGGGTTGCCTTTGGGGCCATTATTACCGAGCGGTTTATGATTAACTTTCCCAGATTGTCCTTTTCCGTTTAAGGGCTTTGAGTGAGGGCACAAGCGGCGCGTTGTTTCTAAGGAAGGAGTCACGGGGCTCGCAGAGCGAGGCAGAAAACTCCGAGTTATTTTCCGCTGTTTGACTTTCCCTCTCCTCCCCTCGAGCGGGTGTTTGTTTATAGGCGAGGTGGGCACAGCGCCTACAAGAATCACCAGTTTCGGGAATAAAGCACGCACCAGTTTAAAACCCAGACAAGTTGGCTGTTTGTTTGTTTTCGTTTTCTTTAAACGCTCAGAGCGGAGGGGGGGAAAAAAAAAAAAGCAAAACACCGACGACAAAAAAATCCCTACCCAAGGCCACAAAAAGTAGCAGCAGATGGTGGGTTGGACCCTGGATATGGTATCAAAGTTTAATTCTTTAAAGCTCGAAGGCAGATCAAGTCCCAGGCTTATTTAGCCGTGGCCTGGACCATGTGAAATTTGTTTTTATGCGTGTTTGGAACAGCAGTGCGGGGAAAATCGCTTCCATGAGCCGCTTCCTTACACACACACACAGAGAACTCTGCGGGCTTCCAGCTTGCAGAAAGTGGAATGGGTGGATTTCATCTGAACACACACTTTGACACGCAGAACTCTCCGCACTCCCTCTTTCTCCCAGAGATTTTTACGGTTTTAAGTTATTTTATTTTAATTTTTTTTTTTAATCAGTATATGCCCAAGCGCAACATGTTGAGACCCGGAGGGAGGATGTGGTGAAACTATTGTGGGCATTTCCGAGACCACCTATAAACCCATTTATTTAGTGAAATTCGCAGCCGTGGTCTGAAAAATGTCATATCTGCGAACTTAAAATGATGTTTTATATGATGAACTTACAGATCAGTGCCCAGCCACGAGATCAGCCGGGCGGTCTTTTGAGGGGCACAGACCCCAACTTGGCATTTATCAGTCCCTAAAGACGTGGGGATGTTTACTACGAGATGCAGGAGCTCCTCGGGGACTGAATATTCCTTATCCGATGGCAAAATGTGGCATTTTCCATAGGAAAAGTCACAGGACCCACTCCCCACCCCGGTCCCTAAAGCATTGCCAGCGGTACCTTTAATAAACTTATTTTATCCATTGGAACAGTTAAACCCGGGAGCTCTTTTGTGTTCCCTAAACCCACGCGTTACCCTTTACACCGAGGTGGAGATCACAGCTCCTAAAATAAGAGCCACTTAAATTCCTTTATGGCTTTGTGTGTATATTTATAGGGATATTATATTTTTATGCCAGACACAAAGTTTATTGCGCACACGGAGGGGTTTGCTGACCCGGGGGGGAGGGGGGATTCGCTGGGGAGGGGGATTTCAGCCTCCGAGAGGCGCCGCAGCCTAATTAGACCGTTAATAAGCTCTTGATGATTCGGGGCGTGACCGCCTTGTCTCGCAAAGAGGTCCCTGAAACGGGGATTTAAACAAAGAAACCATCACCCCTGGCCCGGCCGGGCCCAGTCCTGGGGCCCGGCGGGGTGCGGGGGGCACGGAACGGGGGCGGGGGACACGGAACGGGGTGGGGGACACGGACCAGGGTGGGGGACACGGAACTGGGGTGGGGGACACGGAACTGGGGTGGGGGACACGGAACTGGGGCGGGGGACACGGAGCCGGGTGGGGGACACGGAGCCGGGTGGGGGACACGGCCCCGGCGGCTCCGATGCGGTCCCGGGGATGGAGAGGAGGGGGAAAACCGCACCGCCAGCCCTTTCCCATCCTTCCCGGGACAAGTGTCCGCGCCCGGGAAGGGGGACACAGAGCGGGGGTGAAGGGGAGTCACGGTCCCAGGTGGGGGACACGGGCGCGGCTGTTCCATGGGGATGGAGAGGAGGGGGAAAACTGGGCGGCCGCCCCTTTCCCATCCTTCCCGGGGCAAGTGCTGGCGCCCGGGAAGCGGGATCCGGGCCGAGAGTGGAGGGGAGTCACTCCCGGGGGAGGGGACACGGAGCCGGGATGGGGGACACGGAGCCGGGATGAGGGACACGGACCTGGGATGGGGGACACGGAGCCGGGATGAGGGACATGGAGCCGGGATGGGGGACACGGAGCCGGGATGAGGGACATGGAGCCGGGATGGGGGACACGGAGCCGGGATGGGGGACACGGACCTGGGATGAGGGACGCGGAGCCGGCAGTTCCATGGGGATGGAGAGGAGGGAGAAAAAGCGGTCTGCCAGCCCTTCCTCATCCTTCCCAGGGCATGTGCCCGCGCCCAGGAAGGGGAATTGGGATCGGGGGTGGAGAGGAATCACAGTCCCGGGCTGGGGGACACGGACCTGGGATGGGGGACACGGACCTGGGATGGGGGACACGGACCCGGCGCCTCCGCGCCTGGTGCCGGTGTAGTCCAGGGGGTGGAAAAGACGGGGAAAACTGGGTTGTCAGCCCTTTCCCATCCTTCCTGGGGCAAGTGCTCGCCCCCAGGAAGGGGAATTCGGACCGGGGGTGGAGGGGAATCACGGTCCCGGGGGAGGGGACACGGACCCGGGCTGGGGGACACGGACCCGGCGTCTCCGCGCCCGGTGCGGTCCGGGGGCCGGAGGGGATGGAGGGGATGGAGGGGATGGAGGGGATGGAGAGGAGGGGGATCCAGGGCTGCCACCCCTTCCCCATCCTCCCAGGGGCAAGTGCCCTCGGCAAGCGAGAGCGAGGAGCATTAACTGGAGTAAATCAGGTAGTTTGATGTCCTTGTGTTTAAAATTAAAAGCCCCAACAACATGAAACTACCTAATTCACAGAGCAGTTCTAGTTCAGCCTTGGGTCAAAGGCTAAAATTGCCAAGAAAGGCGCCCGGGCAGCCATTTTGTTTGACATCATCTGCAATCTGAACTTTTATAATAGAAAACAGTTGCTAGGAAACAAAAGCAACAAAAGGATCTTTTCAGGGACGAAATAAAAACCCCTCGGATTGCCCGAAACAACTATTCAGATGATTTCCTATGTACAGTGTCTGGAGCGGATCCCTCCTGCAGGACTTTACAAATAGTTTACAAATAGACCAGAGGAAACAGTAAAATGCTATTGACTTTGAGAAACAAGCGATTATCGCAGCCATAAAAAAGAGCAAAAATCCCTAAAGTTCTTCCCCCACCTCCTCTGGAAAGCCAATTTAAAGGATCGTTTCCTATATGAAGCTTATTTATCAAGACTTCGTATTAAAACACTATTACCAGATTTATTTATTTTTTTTAATCTAAACCTGCCAGTGGTTGGAGAACTTTCCGCAGAGAATAGAGCTAAAGCAGTGAGTTCCGGGGGGGAAAAAAAAAGGCGATTAATTCATATTCTCCTCTCCCGAAAGGAAGTATAAGGGGATTCATTTAAAGGAAAGAAGAAGAAGAAGGAAAGAAGTCAAAAACATATAAATCAATTAAAGCAAGAGGGGGAGAAAAGCGACATCGGGGCTATTTTTTAGGTGTAAATAGCAACAGAGAGAAACTTATTGTGTCATTTTCTCCCTCCAACGCGCTGGAAAAGCGTGTTATAAAATAACGACTCGGTGGTGATAAAAGGGGGAATTAAAGCCGGGGGAGGCGGCGAGGCCCCGGGGGCTTTGCTGAGCTCCGAGCAACTTCCGCGGGGGAAGTCTGGCAGGAAAAAAAAGGCCAAAATCCCCTTTTAGGAAAAAAAAATATTATAAATTTATATATTTTTAAAAAGGACAATACAGCCCCCAGCCAATCTGGTCAGGCACAAACCACTTCTCTATGTGTATAGTGATTATATATTTAATGTAAGGTCAGTGTCTTACCTGGTAGTCTGGGGGTTTGTCCTCAAGTGTAATAAATAACTAACCGGGCCCAGCAAAAGGAATTATGAGAAAGGCTGGAAAGACAACAGGCAGAGATAGCCCCGGCCCGAAAGGGCAAGTTTAGGGGAGTTTAAAAGTTCATTGAAGAAACAAATCCTCCGAGTTCAAGAGAGACGCAAAGAGGAGCCAGAAACTTGATTATAACTTGGCTTCATTTCATCCCAAAAGCCTTGAAAAGCCTGGCTGGGCCGGGATATAAATCTGTTGTACCGGAAATACAATAAACCCGAGCCACGCTGTTGAACTTCCAGCGCTTTAGAGCAGGTCGGAGACGGGCCGGAATCGGCAAACAAACAAACAAAGCCACAAAGAACCCCCCGAAAAAAACCCAAACAGCCACTTGGGAGAGGAGAGAAGAGAAGAGAAGAGAAGAGAAGAGAAGAGAAGAGAAGAGAAGAGAAGAGAAGAGAAGAGAAGGGGGGAACTCTTTTTTGGGGGGGAATGTGGACAACAGGAGGGTTGGATTCTGGTTTTGTCTTGGTTAGAGTTCTAAACGCACAAAGGGAGGAAAAGGTCCTGTGAGCCCTCGTCTTTTATAGGCTCTAATTTGAAATTAATACAGATTTCCCCCGATTAATTCACAATTCATTCTTTCTCTCCTTTTTGATACGCAGATATGGGCAGGTTCAGCTAAAAATTAGAGCTGTGAGGGGCAAGAATTTCAAGTTTACTGTAAAACTTCGATTATTTTTGCCAACGAAGAACCCGTAGTATCACATACCTGCAGTAGTTACTACATATTACTGCGTGGTGTGTGTTTGCAGACAGGCAAACAGAGAATCTCCTCTATTTACAGCACCACACCTACGATAATTTAACAATTTGTCGACTATTTTCTATTTCCTAAAAAGAGGAATAAAAAAAACCCCAAACAAACAAACAAACAAAAAAACCTCAGACCCACCACTTTACTTTTTCTGCCAGCGCAATTTGTAAAACAAAAGTGGCGGTCACACTTGAACTCGCGCTATTAAAAGCTCTTTTCTTTCGCGCCGAACAGGCAGGAGGGATATATTTTTAAAGAGCTTTCGCTTCCTGCAACTTGGAAATGAAGCCCCTGACTCGCAGATGGAAAAACATAAATAAGGGAAAGCACTCAGGATCGGCGTGAAAAACGCGCGTGTGCCGTTTAATTTCGCGATTGGGTTTAAAAATAAATAACAGGAAGGGGGGAAAAAATTGAAAGTGCCCCAAATCTAAGTAGGGGATGGATCAGGTTTAATTCTCGCGCTGGAGCAACATTTTAAGGTAATGGGCTTTTTTTTTCTTCCCTTCTGGCTGTCGCTAAAGTTTCGAAAGACATTTTAAATTCAGATGTCAGGGACGAGCTGGAGCTCTCAGCCGGTAAATGGATGTGCGAGCCCCGAGATAACTCCTCCCTGTCAGGGGAATGAACGCTAAAATAATGAATCGGGGGGATCTGAAGTGTTTGCCCGAGCATCCATCAGTAAATGCAGATGTGTGCACATCTCCATTACACACTCACGGGGCAGGAGAATACATCAATGATGATCCGAGGGAAATGGCCCCGAATCTCGAAAATTACAGTTTCTTTGCGACCCGCTCAGATAAAAAGCGATGTTTTTATTAAAATCCCGTTCCAGCAGCTGGTCCCCGCCGTCCCCATCCCGCGGGGAAGCCTTCGGGAATATTCCGTGTCCGTCCCCTGGGACGCGGGCGGGGGTTCCCAAAGGGAATAGGTGACAAACGGGAGGCGCTTTTAGGGCAAAAAGATTAAAAAGTTGCCCTCAAACCCTCCTGCTGCCCTCCCCCTCCCCGCGGGGTGGGGATGGGAGTGGGAAGCAGCTCTTCCCTCGCTCCCGTGTGTCCCTCAGGCCCGGGGATATTCCTGAACAGCCTTTGCAAAAATAAGCCATATTTTATTTATTTATATATTTTTTTTTTGCTCGAGCGCTTGAATTATTGCGGGCCCGGTAATAATAATAATAATTTAATAAAGGGGAATAAATAATAAATCCCGCCCCGGCGCTGGCAGGGGCTGTGATTATTGACTCCTGGGAGCCGGGAGGAGAGGGAGGAGAGGGATGGGGAGGAAGAGGAGGAGGAGGAGGAGGAGGAGGAGGAAGAGGAGGTGGCCGTACCCGTGGCCTCGGGGCGGCGCTCGCCGGCCGGTTCCTGCAGCGCCCTCGGCCCGGCCCCGCTTTTGTTTCTCTGCCAAGCAGAAGACAAACATTTTCACTGATTTTTGTTTTCTTTGCCTTTTTCTTTTCTTCCCTTTTTTCTTTTTTTTTCTCTTTTTTTTTTTTCCTTTTTTTTCTTTTTTTTTTTTTTTTTTTTTTTTTTTAATGGGAAGAAGAAGAAAAGGATTTCGCAATAAAAATCGAACTTTCTGCCGCAGGGAAAGGCGCGTTAAAATAAACTGAAGTCAAATGAAATAAAATGAAATGAACTGAAGTCAAACGAACGGAAGTCGAATGAGATAAAGTCAGATGACACGAAGCGAAATAAAACAGCTTAAAAAATTAAATTAAATGAATATAAATAAATAAATAAAATAATAAATAAAAAAGACACCAAATAAATTAAAAAAATTAAATGGAACGAAATAAAATAATAGGATAAAATAAAATAAAAATAAAATATGACACCCACGCATTTCTCTGGAGTCCCGCAGGGCTCCTGAGACCCCGCGCAAAGGAGGAGTCACTTTTCTGCCTCCGGGGGTTTCCCTCCCCCTGGAAATCCTCGGGGACAGCCCGGATTTTATGGATGAAACCCGCGATCAGACAGAATCATTAATCCCGAGAAGGAAAAGCAGAGGAACAACCCACGCGTGTCCCCGCAGCGCCCCTTCCCCTCCGCCCCCGCTTTCGGAGGAATTAAGGGAAGCAAACCCCAAAAGCAGAACCCAGGTTAAAAAGGAAAAGTTCCCTTCAGTGCTCTCATTAATTGGAAAGCTCCAATTAGTAGGAAAACTCTAATTGATAGGAAAGGAAAAGCGGCGGGGTTCAAGCCCATCTCCCTCCTCATAACTCCGACAATTCCCGATTTTTTTGCAGGGCGCACTGGGAACGCGGACGGCTCAGAGGAGCAAAACGAGGAGATCTCGGCGTCACAAAACCCGTAAGAAACTTTCCCCTCTACCCGAATTTAGTTTGGGGTGTCCGGGGATGCCGGAGGAGCCTCTGTGGGCTCCCGGCTGAGCTCAGGCCCAGCCGCGGGGGCCGCGACCCCCAAAAACCGGGCCCAGGAAAAGCTGTTTCGCTTGGGGAAAAAAATGTCAATTAGTCTCCAGACTTGCGGCAAAGTTCAGTCAAATGAGGTTTCCCTTAATTAACCATCGAGGCTTTGGCTGGAAGGGTTGGGGGCTAAGACTTAAAAAGTAATATTTACAGATATAAAAGTATCCAAAACGTTACGCTGGCCGCGATTAAATAAAATTAATTAGCAAAATAATTCGGGTAAGTCGAGGGTCGGACAAATCCATCGGTCAAGCGCATTTCACTTTCCCGGATTAGACCTCTCGCTTTGCCAAGAGCATTTCAGGTCCAGCAACTCGTGCGAGAATTGATTTAGCCCCGTACATTCTCATGCCAGCCAAGTAATTCTAAAATCTTATTTTGAATAATTTTCCGGAGAGTTTTCCTGGCTTTTTAGGAAGTCTTTTAGTTTCCGTGTTCGGGATATTGTGAATTGCACTTCAATATTTGTAAGAGTTTTTAGTCAGAAAAAAAAACTAAAAAAAGAAAAAAAAAAGGGATAAGGAATTATATTGATAAAAGTTCCCCAAAATGAGTAAAAGAAATAAATCCAACACCGGACGTTCCTTAGACAAAATACTCCATTTGTTCCTATTCCATCCATTTGTTGGGAAAATCAATTAAGCCTGGCTACCTCCAACTATTCACACAAGCCCTCCGTCCCGGAGACTTTAATTGGTTATTCTCCGGTTTTCGACTCATTATTAGAAATCCATAAAGCAGGGGAGGGACAGGAAATGAAGTTTAAAGGTACCTCGTTGCGGCACAAGCGCTTTCTCTGCCTCGCCGCGGACGGACGCGAGTTTGTGGAGACGGAGAGAGAAACACGTGGAGACGCGGAAGAAAAGCCGAGTCCCCCTCGGCGAGTGGACTTGGCAGTCCCGGCGAAATGACCTTTTGGTTTCAAGTCTAGCCGGGAGAATTCCTTCCCACCCCACAACAGCCTTCCTTCCTTCCTTCCTTCCTTCCCATCCCACAGCAGCCTGCCTTCAATCCTTCCTTCCTTCCCATCCCACAGCAGCCTTCCTTCAATCCTTCCTTCCTTCCCATCCCACAGCAGCCTTCCTTCCTTCCTTCCCATCCCACAGCAGCCTTCCTTCCTTCCTTCCCATCCCACAG